TGTCGTGGCAATGGAGATAAAATGTCAAGAAAGCATTAGATGCGACGTTTTATCGAACCAAGATTAGCTTAGAGCTATTAGCAATTGGATTGCTTACCTTAAAATATTAAGTGTTAAGACAAGCCAAAGCATGCTTAATCACTTTTTGATTTTGGGATCTTGGAATCGTTTTATTCCCGCCTAAAAGGGGCTAATATTAATGCGTGGATAAAACGCTCAATAAGATTGAAATTTTTGCATTTATGCTTTAAATTTCGAACTTATTGGTTTTATGAATGGTTTTTCATTTCAAATTCTTTCAATTGTAGAAACATGTCTGAAAATAACTCAAACAACTAATTTTCATTACGCTCAATTCTCGACAAGGAGAAGTTGAGTGGGCCAAATTTTCTTGATTGGCAAAAGAACTTGCGTATTGTTCTCATGCAAGAGCAAAAGGAATACGTCCTTGAGGAGGAAATGCCCGATGCTCCAAATGAGATTGTCACTCAGGCTGCCCTTAATCGATGGCAAACTGTCAATCGAGATGTCAAGTGCATCATGTTGGCTACTATGTCTCCGGACCTCCAAAAGACTTTCTTTCAAAAGGAGACGGCTTTTGAGATCATTTTTGAACTTCAAAACATGTTCCAAGAGCAGGCACGAACTGAAAGGTTCGAAACCCACAAGCAGATCCGTGAGAGCAAGCTCAAGAAAGGAGAGCCAGTCAGCCCACATGTACTTAAAATGATAGTATTATTTGAGAACAAGGAAAGGCTTGACGCTGGGTATTCAACCGAGATGGCAATTGACATCATTCTCCATTCGCTGCACAAAGGCTATGATCAGTTCGAGATGAACTATAATATGCACAGCATGGAGAAAACCCTTACCGAGCTTCATGGGATGTTGAGGCAAGGCGAGCAAACGCTCAAGGATGAGGGGAAGCTGACATGCTCATGATAAAAAAGGGAAGACATTCAAGCGCTTGGGCAAGAAGAGAAGCTTTAAAGGGAATAAGAAGAAGATTTTTCTGCCTAAGTCAAGTACTTCTAAGAGCAGCAAGGACAAGAAGGTAGCCTCTTCTAAATCCGATTTCGAATGTTTCTATTACAAGAAGAAAGGACATTGGAAGCAGGATTGCCTCAAATTCAAGGAAGATAAGAAGAACGGCACATTGCTTCTGTATCAGGTATTTTTGTTATAGACTTAAACTTCGCTAGCCAAATATCATGGGTATTAGATACCGGATGTGGCTCACACCTTTGTTCCAATGCTCAGGGACTAAGGATAAGTAAGAGGCTAGAGAAGGGAGAGGTCGAGCTTCGAGTCGGCAATGAAGGTAGGATGTCTGCCGTATCCGTTGGAGCTCTCAGTTTGTCTTTGCCCTCTGGGCTTGTTTTAGAACTTGACAATTGTTATCATGTTCCAAGAGTTACCAAAAATATTATTTCAATATCGGCATTGGACGCCAAAGGATTTGAATTTCGGATAAAAGACAATAGTTGTTCGTTTTATTTTGATAATGTTTTATATGGTAAGGCATATTTAGAAAATGGTCTTTATGTGCTTTCTCTAGACAAACAAGTTTATAATGTTAATGATACCACCAAAAGAGCTAAGACCATTGAGCTGAATCAGACCATTGGCCACATTAACATCAAACGCATCAAGTAACTTCTTTATGAAGGTATTCTTGACTCATTCGACTTAGAGTCGTTTGAAAACTATGAAGGATGTCTATTAGGCAAGATGATAAAGCAACCATTCTCCAAGTTAGGAGAAAGGGCTAGTGACTTATTAGGTCTTATACATACGGAAGGCAAGGTTATCGATATTTCATCACCTTCACAGACGACTATAGTACATAAGGTTATGTCTACCTTATGTCGAACAATCTTAATCTTTTGAGAAATTCAAAGAGTTTCAGAGTGAAGTGGAAAATCAACTTGGCAAGAAAATCAAAGCACTTCGATCGGATCGAGGTAGTGAGTATTTAAGCCACGAATTCGACGATCTTCTGAAAGAAAATGGCATTCTATCAGAATTAACACCTCTTGGAACTCCACAATGGAATGGAGTGTCCAAAAGGAGGAATCGTACCTTGTTAGACGTGGTCTGATCAATGATGGGTCTTAGTGAACTTCCTATCTCTTTCTAGGGACACGCACTTATAACCGCGACACTAACACTGAACCGAGATCCGTCGAAAGCTGTCGAAAAGACTCCATATGAATTATGGACGAACAAACCTCCATGGTTGTCTTTTCTTAAGATTTGGGGTTGCGAAACATATGTCAAGAGATTAATTTCTGACAAACTTCACCCAAAATCAGACAAGTGTTTCTTTGTGGGATACCTAAAAGAAACCAAAGGGTATTACTTCTACAACAAATCCAAGAACAAAGTGTTTGTTGCTCGTGATGGTATCTTTTTGGAGAAGGAACAACTTTCCAAAATGACAAGTGGGAGGAAAATCGAACTCAATGAAGTTCGAGAGGACGAGCAATAAAGTCAACCTGACAAAACTGACAATCAAAGTGCTTTAGAAGCAGCTGTTTACATTGGTCAGAGTCAAACCGACAATGTGCAAAGTCGAACCGACAATGCAAATGCTCAACCTATTACCCTGCGTAGGTCGCAACGGCCAAGATCTCAACCAGACATATACCTCAGTGTTATCTTAACCGAAGATCAAGACATCCTAATAGTGGATGGAGATGAGCCAACGACATACAAACAAGCGATGACGAGCCCCGACTCTGTAAAATGGCAAAAGGCTATGAAATCCGAGATGGACTCCATATTTGAAAATCAAGTCTGGGACTTGGTTGATTTGCCCGAAGGTTACACACCTATCGGTTGCAAATGGATTTTCAAGTTGAAAACCGACAAAGATGGAAATGTATCTATATATAAAGCTAGATTGGTGGGAAAAGGTTACAGGAAAATTCACTGCGTTGATTATGATGAAACCTTTTTGCTAGTCGCCATGTTTAAGTTCGTCTGGATTATCCTAGCGATTGTTGCATATTATGATTATGAAATATGGCAAATGGATATCAAATCCGCCTTCCTTAATTGGATTTTGGAAGAAACTGTGTATATGACACAGCCAGAAGGTTTTGTTGATCCAAGCAATGCTGAGAAGGAATTCAAGCTTAAGAATTCCATTTATGGACTAAAGCAGGCAAGTAGAAGTTGGAATCTGTGATTCGATGAAGCCATTGGTGAGTTTGGTTTTATCAAGAATCCAGATGAATCTTGTGTTTACAAGAAGGTCAGTGGGAGTGACATGTCATTCCTCATCTTATATGTCGATGACATATTGCTCATTGGAAACAGCATTCTAATGTTGGAGTCTGTAAAGACTTGGCTTGGGAAATGCTTTTCAATGAAGGACTTGGAGAGGCTCAGTACATATTAGGCATTAAGATCTATCGGGATAGATCTAAAAGGATGATTGGATTGAGCCAAAGTACTTATATTGATAAGGTACTGGCACAATTCAACATGGAAGAGGCCAAAGGAAGGCACCTACCCATGTCACATGGCATAACTCTCAGCAAAAAGCAGTATCCGCAGACACCTGATGAGCGGGAGAGGATGAATCAGATTCCTTATGCTTCACTTGTTGGATCAATCATGTATGCCATGATATGTAATAGGCCGAATGTATCGTATGCCTTGAGTGCTACGAGCCGATACCAATCAGACCCAAGAAAGGCACATTGGACTGCGACCAAGAATATCCTAAAGTACCTGAAAAGGAACAAGGACAGATTTCTGGTCTATGGTGGTAGTAATGATTTGGTTGTTGAAGGTTATACCGACGCGGGCTTCCAGACTGATAGAGACGACTCCAAGTCGCATTCAGGGTACATATTCTTCCTAAATGGAGGAGCGTTTAGTTGGAAGAGTGCTAAGCAAAGCACCACTACAGATTCTACAACTGAAGCCGAGTACTTGGCCACTTCAGAAGCAGCTAAGGAGGCAGTTTGGATTCGTAAGTTCATTGGTGAACTTGATGTTGTACCCTCAATCAAGGGTCCAATAGACCTCTATTGTGAAAACAATGAAGCTATTACTCGGGCTAGGGAGCCAAGGGAACATCAGAAGGTCAAACATGTCAAGAGGCAATTTCACATGATAAGGGAATGAAAGTCCGATGGTGAAATCAGAATTTTTAAGATTGGAATGAACGACAATGTAGCCAATCCACTCACTAAACCTCTGCCTCAAGTGAAGCACAACAAGCACGTTGAGACAATGGGAATCTGGCACGTTGGAGATTGGCTTTGATTTTCTTGTTATGTGTTTTAATTAAATTTGAGATTTGAATGTAAAACACTATGTTGAACCATTCGGTTTTGGAGCAATTAAATTTTCAGTAAATTTATTATTACTCCATTTCTATTTAATTGTGGTTTATAATTAAATAATGAGTCAACTCGATTTCTGAGAATATTCAAAACAGGGTATCAGGACCATGTCTTGGATAAAGAAACACCTGCTAAGTGAATATTGAATATTTCAATCGAAAATTATCCCTAATCAAGGTAATTTAAATGATGGACGATTAATAACCACTTGAGATTAGTGTGTAGTATGATTTATAGCACCGTTTCTTGTGCTACAAGGACATGATTATCATAAATCATTTGAATAAGTATTGGTTTAGAACTATACCGGATCGACCTATGAGAGTACTTTAAGAGATTTAAAATCGTCATAAGTATATTTCTCATTATAGCTATCAGAACCTTTTTCCTCGACCATGAGTATTGTTTATAAACTATTCCCCCATTATAATTTTTATTAATTTTCCAACAAACCCCATTTACATAATATTTTAACAAATTCTACTCAACCACATAAAACTCCATTGCCGGTCAACATGTTGCAATTTAAAAAAAAAAAAAAAAAAAACAGTATAATAGTAGTATATGTCAAGTTTCATGTTTGACTACTATCAGTTATCTTGGAACAAAGGGTGTCAATTAAGGAAGATAATGGGAACATGAAAGATAAAACTCAGTAGAAACACTATGGCACAAGTAATACTACCAAGTATCAAATTGGCAACAAGAATCTTCAGATATTTTAATACAATCTGTCAACGATAAAAACTACAATTAAAGTAGCATGATAGCATCGAACCCTCGATGTTTGCAAACACTGCATAATCATTTTCTAAGACCTCAAAGTTCACAGTTAAACATGGGCCAGTAAATCAGCATTGAACTATATCAAACAGTTCAATGCAAAGACAAGGACACAATGCAGAGTTAAATCAAGATCTATAGTTCACCATCCACTTGAAAACGTTGCTCATTCAACCTCACCCAAGTAGTCATCAATTTCGGCAGGAGTTAGTACCCTGCAAGTTGAATTTACACATTTGTCAATAAACTTAAAAAACTTTAAATAGGCATGCATACCATTCAATCACACAGAAAGCTGGATGACGACTCCAAGATATGTAGCAGAGCAAATAGTTCAGGATAACACTCATCAAAATTATTACTTGTACATCTGAAACCCAAGAAAAATATAGGATACAGCTACTAAAGTAACATCTGCTCAATGAATAGTATATCCAAACTAAACAAGTCATGGAACAAGGAATGGGATTCCCTTAGTTCAAACACGAGCACCTATAGTACACAAAATAGATATTTGAGACATCATTCCAATTGCAAAATTCCATAAGCAAGCAGACTAGAGTCCCTAGGTGAATATCATACTCTGTAACCTTACCTCCCTGCTCATCAATAGGCAGCCTCATGTACCCATACCTTAATTACACTAATTTACTTTATTGTAACCACAAAATAATGGGGTCGGCCACATGAACCAAGTTTTTATTTCATGTACTCGTCAGCCATGATCCTCTCCTTCCGTTCCTTTCTATCTAATGGTATATGCTCCTCAAACTCAACTTCTTCAAGTCCTTAACTCTTACATCCAAAGTCGTCTTTGGTCTGTCCCTCTTCTGAGACCCCCTTGATACTAACAATCTACTTTCATTACTGGTGCATCTTCCGATCTTCACCTAACATTCCCAAACCAACGCAACCAGTTCTCCCTTATTTTATCCACAATGTCCGCAGCTCTAACTTTCCTCCTAACATTTTCATTTCTAAATCTTTCTTTTTAACGTGTTCACAGTTCCCACACATCCGTCTAACCATACGCATCTCTGCTCCTCCCATCTTCCTAATGTAAATGATCCTGAATGCCCAACATTGACCCATATAACAACGCTGGTTTGATGGCTGTCGGATAATTTTCCCTTTTAACTTCAAAGGTATGCTACTTCACTTGCACAGAGAAATCTTATGTGAACTATAAGTGCCAGAGAAGGAATCAAGAACACTCACTGTTTGCACCAAAAAAAAAAAAAAAAAAAAAAAAAAAAAAAAAGGATGTCAATGCAAGACTTAAAACTTTCAATAGCTGGAATGACTGAAACAGTCAGGGTGTGCAGTTTTTGTTTGGTTCTTTGGTAGCCCATGTAACAAATTACTCGGGAGAAATGAGGCCACACTAGAATCAACATGAGATAGAGGGGGATCCAGGCAGGTAACATAAATGGCAAGCAAGCAAGACAGGAGGATAGTTACATCCTGAAGAGAAGGACGATAACACTGGTTGGCAGGCTGCTGTAGGGTAGGATGAAGTGATGAACAATGCAACACCTGCATTTCCTACAATCCAGTATCTTGATGTAATTCCTCAACAGATGTATTAGCAAAATTCATAACATAACACAATTTACAAAAACTAAACACATGTATTTTTTTAAATTGTAAGCTATGAATCATTGCCAATTAAACACCAAAAGTAACTCTGATCATAATTAACAAAGTTTATTTGAACCATAGTGCCATACATGACTGGATAGTGGCATGACTGGTATCTAGCTTTGCCTCACAATAAAATATAAGCTCTCCAGAAGATGTTAACAGTAATACAAATTTCCACAATGCAGATAATACTTAAAGGACTTGTACGGCAAGAATAATTAAAAAGAATGCGCACCTGAACTTTTTGTCAGAGCCAATAATCCCAATCTCAATATTCTTCCCTGAAATTTGGCCTTCAAAACTGTATGAAGCACAAATAGTATTAATGAGATGACAAACTATTGCAATAGTTGCATCTTAGAGGAAAACAATAAGACTACATAAACCTATTTCAACTACACATGCAATTAGAGGACTCCTATTGGTCATATTGTGTTATCTTGTCCATTACAAAGACAGGGAACAGAAAAGTAAAACTATTGAGCACCTAGAACAGAAAATTTTATTTTATTGTAGCTAAATCATCCTTCTCTTTGAATTCTTTCATGCATCATTCATCATTACAGCATGTCCTTTTCATTATGCATCCATTCACAACAAACGACCAAACAAGCACTTAAAATCATCACTTGTATTTTAGGCTTGAGGTAAGGAGAGGCACTAGCTTGTTCACATCAGGAATACATGAGTGCAGCAAACTTCATGGAGTATAAGGAGGCCCACACATCAGGCTGCCTCCACCAGAGTGCAAGCCACTGCGCAACATGCGTCACTTTGATAACATAAACCAGACGTGGATTCATGAGGAGAGGAATTGTAAGCGTTAAAAGCAAAAATTCATCAACTTAACTTTAAACCCTTCTTTGATTCTATTACAATTAATTGCATAAGAATCCTTCAGTTAGAATTTTAAACCCTAAATCAAAGCTTATTGCTTATGAAACCCTAATTCACAAATTGCCTATAAGGCCAAAACCAAAACTTCTGCATCGCTGTATTGGAAACAGAGAGTGCCGATCAGATTTGGTGACATCATCCCTTGATGGTAGCCATCACTGGCGACCTCTAGGATAGTGGAACAGTTAGCTTTGGGGGTTCACTGGGGTTATTGACCTTTGTAGTATCCTCTGAAGTATTATTATAAAGAATTTTTGTAAAAATAGTTGTTGAAAGTTGGCTATGTTATGCAAACTAACCAGCTTTGGACAAAACAGCCAAGAGTCAGAAAAAAGGCTGCTGAAAAGCCAATACCAAATATATATATGGCTCTTTAATCACATAAACAAATAAAAGCTAGCATATTGCAGACCAACCCAAACCAAAACAGTGGGCTTATGAGTTGTATTGGGCCTGCTTGCCCAAAAAGCCAATTTTCCTTACAAGGGAAGACACAATTATGGGAATATGGACTTATTGACTTAAGAACCAATTTCCCTTCTCCAACACTCATAGACCAATCTGTCCTTCACCATTTTCCAACTCCATCACTCCACTTTTTATACCGCCCAACTCTTTAACCCTTAAAAGCCAGTCTTGTACTTCGTCAATTTTTAGAGATCATTGCAGCCCATTCTCAGTCACAGTTACCGAGGCTGAAAATTGTTGCCAAGGTCGAGCTTCGAGTTCCGATTATAATCCACCTTGAGAACAAGGTGAAAGTTTGGGCGGCGGGTAATGCAAGGAATTAATATTTGGGGAAGGGCATGTTAGTCATAGTCTATTAGTAGTGACTTGGGGAATAAGTTAGAGGATTGTTATGAGAGTTTTTCTATGAATAGGCCTCATTAAGAGGAATAAAGACATGAAAAGAATTAATTGGGAAGTTTGTTTTGGGAGAGCACCTTCCTCTTGAAAGAAGGCACTGCATTGTTGAACATTCTGTTTGATAAATCACTATCCCCCTTGGCCACCATTTTCTCTCTTCAATTAGCTTGTTTACTTACTGTTTTCATACTAATTCGTAGCATTCAATAGACTTCAGCAACTTAGTTCAATTGAGGAGTATATTGATGACTTTGAGAATTTGAGATCTGTCATGTTGATGAATAATCATGTCTTACCTGATGCATACATATTAGAGAGCTTTATAGGGGGGACTTATTTGTTAAAGCTTTCAAACCTTCTACCATTGCTCAGGCAGTAGAATATGCTAGATTACAGGAAGAATCATTGAATTCTGTTAATCTGAGCTATAAACCTACCAAGTTCACTGTCCAGTACCTTACCATCTTTGTTACCTACCTCAAATTAAACCAGCCTCTTCTTTGTAACAGACCCCACACAACTCTAAAAATTACAGACACATACCAGCTGATGTTAGGCAAGAAAAGATTGCCAAAGGTCTTTGCTATAACTGTGATCAGCCTTACTCTAGGGAACATAAGTGTCAATTCAAGAAACCCCAATTTTTCAGAGTTGAGATTCCCGGTGAGTGGGATACAGAAGAAGAAGAATTGGAGTCTGAACCTAAAGTAGAATCAGATCCCCAAATTTCTGTAAATGCCTTAGCTGGGAATCAATCCTTCCAGACTATGAGAGTGAAGGGGGTGGTGAATGGCAAGGATTTTCATATTGATTCTGGCAGTACTCCTAATTTTGTTGATGTCAATATTGCAAACAAATTAGGGTGTAAGTTGGATCAGATTCCTTTTCAAGCTGTTTCAGTAGTCAATGGGAATTATATTCCTTGCCAATACATGTGTAAGGGGTTCACTTGGGAGATGCAGGGCCATAAGTTTGATGCTGATGTTTTGTTGATTCCATTGGGAAGCTGTGACATGGTGTTGGGTATTCATTGAGGTTGTTGGGTCCTATATGTTGGGATTTTCAGCAATTGAGAATGGAATTTTACTTGAGAAATGAAAAGTTTGTTCGGAAGGGTATTCCTTCTAAGAAGCTGTCAGTTGTTATAGGGTAACCCTGGTGATAAGATTTTTGAGTCAGCAGTACAATTATGCCTTATGCAAGTGATGGAGGCTAGTTGTATTCTACAGCAGGACAACTCTAATCTGTCTTAGTTTTCAGAATTTGCTGAACTTAAACAGCAGTTTAGCATGGTGTTTGAAGAACCTACTGAATTACCACTTGAGAGGGGAGTGTTTGATCACTCTATACCCCTAGTTCCTGGTAACACTCCTGTAAATATCAGACCATATAGATACCCATTGAAGCAAAGAGACATTATTGAGCAATTGGTGTAGGAGATGTTGGATAGAGGAATTATACAGAACAGTTCTAGCCCTTTTGCTTCACCTGTGGTTCTAGTAGGGAAGAAAGATGGCACTTGGAGGCTGTGTGTGGATTACAGGGAGTTGAATAATAGAACTGTTAAGTTGGACTTGAGAGCTGGATACCATCAGATGAGAGTGAATGCTAGTGATGTGTTCAAGACAGCATTCAAGACTCATACAGGACACTATGAGTTCTTAGTCATGCCTTTTGGGTTGACTAATACTCCTACATCCTTCCAAGCTGGATGAATCATGTGCTTAGGCCACTTCTGAGGAAGTGTGTACTAGTCTTCTTTGATGACATTCTTGTTTACAGCAAAAATCTAAAAGATCATTGGCAACATTTGGGTGAGGTGTTTGCTTTGATGAAAAACAGCTGTATGTTTGTAAAGGAAAGCAAATGCATTTTTGCTGCAAATAGGGTGGAGTACTTGGGCCACTATATTACTGAGAATGGGATAGAGACTGATCCCAGCCAATAGGTTGCTGCAGTAAGTAGTTGGCTGTTCCAGCCAATGTCAAAGAGCTTAGAAGCTTCCTAGGGTTAACAGGTTACTATAGGAAGTTTGTGAAGGGATATGCTGTGTTAAGTAAGCCTTTGACATTAGAAGCCTCACGAAGAATGGTTATAGTTGGAATGAGGAAGCACAGCAAGCTTTTGAGTTCCTCAAGTCTGCCTTGGTTTTAGCACCAGTATTAGCAATACCAGATTTCAATAAGCAATTTGTCTTAGAAACTGATGCTTTAAAGACTGGTATTGGGGTTGTCTTAATGCAGGAAGGACACCCTTTGGCTTATATCAACAGAGCATAGGGACCTAAGTGGCAAAAGCTTTCTATATATGACAAGGAATTGTTAGCCATAGTTTTTGCTGTACAAAAATGGGAGCAATATTTGGTGGGAGGACATTTCATCATCAAGACACACCAGAAAAATCTCAAATGGTTGCTACAGCAGAAAATTTCAACTCCTTTCCAACCATTCTGGTTATCAAAGTTGATGGGCTTTGATTATGAAATACAGTATAAATGTGGCTGCAGATGGTTCTTTGTATGGCAGTGACACAATCTAGGTTCCTTAATTGCTTCTAGTTATTGCTATCATACAGACATTACAGGCTGGAAATCTAGTTTCAGGTTTTCAGTGGGATGGCACTCTTTTAAGAAGGAAAGGCAAGATAGTAGTGGGACCTGATGAGCAATTAAGGCATAAAATTTTGTCTTGGCACCATGAATCTCCTGAGAGTGGTCATGGTGGGAGGGAATTGACACTGAGAAGGGTCAAAAGATTGTTTTACTGGAGAGGAATTACCAGGGATGTAAGCCTATTTGTGAGGAAATGCACTGTGTGTCAAGCTGCTAAATACGACACTTCTGCCTATCCCGGTCTCTTAATATGACAGCCACTACCTATCCCTGAAGATGTTTGGCTAGATATCTCCATGGATTTCATTACTAGACTTCCTCCTAAGTGTGCTGGGAAGGAGGTTATATTTGTGGTTGTTGACAGATTGAGCAAATATGCTCCTTAGTTTTAAAAAGCGCGCCTAGCCAAGGCTCACAAAAGCGCATACCAGAGGCGCAGGGTCCTACAAAAAGCGTGCGCCTTAGTGCGCCTATACCAAGGCGCAAGGCGCAGCGCCTACAACGCCTTTTGTTCAGAGAGAAAGAGAATCTCTAAGTTGAATTTATAGAAGAAACCATAAAAAAACTCCAAATTAAATCTCACCCAGACTTAATTCACAATTTCGAGCAAAAGCCCTAAATCAATTGAATCAATTAACTTTAATTTAACGCCCAAATTGAAAACCCTAAATTTAAGAAACTCTATTTCACGATTTGTTAAGCAATTGGAAAAATAAATCATTGCCTCTGCGACAGAGGTTGCCAGCGAGCCTTCTCCGATGGTTCCCGGCGACGGTGGTCGTCTCTCCAGTGGTTCTTCGAGGTAAGTTGGTCGAATCTGTTTTTTTCCTCCCGTCAATTTTTCTTCTTTCACTTTTCAATTTCTACCTTTTCTATTATACATATATATATATATATATATATATATATATATATAATCTGGATTCAATGCTCTTCACGTGGCTTTCCTAGTTTCCTCCTTTCTTTTGGATTTTAGCAGCCTACTCATCCCGTAGTAATAACGTGCTTCACCAACTTTTTTTTCCCAAACTTTTTTTAATGGAGATTAATATAAATAAAAAAATAAAAAAAAAAAAAAAAACAAAAGTGCACCTCATATACAAAAGCCTTGCGCCTAGGCTCCAAGGACCTTTAGCGCCTCGGTGCGCCTCGTGCCTTTTAAAACTAAGATATGCTCATTTCATGGCATTGTCTCACCCTTTTACAGCATTACAAGTGGCTCAATGTTACTTGGTAAATGTTTTCAAGTTACATGGGTGGCCTAGGTCTATGGTCAGTGACAGGGACTCTGTGTTCTTGAGTCAGTTTTGGAAAGGCTTGTTCTCTTTACATGGCACTGAACTATTACTGTCTTCTGCCTATCACCACAGATGGCCAAACTGAGGTGGTTAACAGGTGTCTTGAAGCTTACTTAAGGTGCATGACAGGAGATCAACCACAAGAATGGCATATATGGTTGTCTCTAGCTGAGTGGTGGTATAACACCCATTTCATACTATTATCTAGTTAACTCCTTATAAAGTAGTGTGCAATCAACCTCCACCTTTGCATCTACCATATTTGGCTGGTGAAGTAAGGAATGATGAGCTTGACAGAAGCTTACAGAGAAGAGAATGAATGATTGCAGATTTGAAGTTTCATTTGGAGAGAGCTCAGAATAGGATGAAAGCTCAGGCGGCTGGCAAGCATAGATCTGAGAGGTCCTTTCAAGTTGGTGATTGGGTCTGGTTGAAAGTACAATCCTACAGGCAACACTCAGTTCAAAGGAGTAACCAGAAGCTATCTTATCAGTTCTATGGACCATTTCAGGTAGCTGCTGTGATTGGGAAGGTGGCATACAAGCTTAAATTGCCAGCAGAAGCCAAGATACATGATGTATTCCATGTTTCTCAGCTGAAAATTTTCGAGGAAAACTGCCTTTAGTCTCTCATATCCCTCCTGTGTTTCAAGGGTTTGAGATTGGTTCTGACAGAATTAAGCCAGCTGCTATTCTGGACAGGAAGATGGTGAAGTTTCAGACTGGAGCTCAGGTGCAATATTTGGTTCAATGGGAGGGCTTTCCAGCTTTTGAAGCAACTTGGGAACCTGCTGAACACTTTGAGCAGAGTTTTACAGATTTTGTTATCCCTTTGACTTGAGGACAAGTCTATTAAAGGGGGGAAGCTATGATGTGGGAAGATTAGCTAATTAGTTTGTTAAGCTGTTTTTGGCAGGATTTTTAGTTGTAATTAGATGCTTGAGCTGAAATTGAGTTAGTTAGTAAGTGGATTGCTGATGTGTAATCCCACTAACCACCTTTATAAGTCATGTAATAATTGTGAGTTAGTTATGCCATTACTAACAAACTCTTCTTCTTCTTAATTTCTCTGTTTCTTTCTCTCTCTTCTTTCTCTCTCCAAACCCAGATTTCCGCCATTAGAGGAGCTTCAAGCTTCCTCCCCATAATAACAGAGCTCTTGAGGGGAATAGAGCAAAGATAACAAAACTCGGGGAATACTACGGGGTCGTTTAGTTCAACTAAGGGAAAAGGGAAAAGGGAATGAGCTAAAGAAAGGGAAACAAGGTGAATGGAAACAAAAAAAACCTTAGATTTCAGAAGTTTGTTTTAAACAATCATATCCCTTCATTTCAACCCCACCACTACCCAAAATCAAAAAACCACCATACAACCACCCACTGCCCATTACTTCTTGCACGTTGGCAACCCTCCCTCCCCTGCTGCCGCCGACGTCCCTCTCCCCTAATTCCACCATAGTCCCTCCTGCCTCCTCTTTCTCTCTCTTTTTTTTTTTAAAAAAAAAAATATTATAGTCTACCACCATCAAAATGGTAAATTAAAGGTTTTAAAGGTCCAAGTCGAAAATGAAATTCCATTTGTGGAACTTTCATATTCGAATTGACCACATAAAACCTTAACTTGATGATACAAAAGGTTTTTTTTTTATCAATTATATTGAATTTTTTTTTTTTTTTTTGGTTTATTTACGAGTGGTTTCCAGCGGTTTGAGAGTGATCTCGTGGTTTGTTGAGTGGTTTCTGGTGGGTTGGGATTGGCTAGGTTGTTTTTGACGGGCTGAAGATGGTTTCATTATTGGTTGAGTAGTTTCCGGCAGGTTGGAAGTGGTTATCAGCGGGTTGGAGCAGTGATTTGAGGGGTCAGTGGGGGGCGGTGTTACTATGAGTGATGGGATTGGTAGTCGTCGTGAGTGAGGTACTATTGATGGTGGTAGCAACTTTGGTGTTAATGGCTTGGGGAATGGGATTTCAAATACCTTGGGAGGGGGGGGATGAAAGTAGGAGAGTTTGAGTTTGAGATAGATGGAGGGAGGGGGGGTAAAGGTTTTAAAAATTACATTACAAACACTAACAAAGGGAAACAACCCTCTTAATTCTCTTTCCCTTTCCTGAATGCCCGCACCAAATTCCCCCTGAGTTCCTAGGCCTAAGAAAAAGCATCTTGTCTATGTATTGACATTAGGTGGATTATCTAGTCACTAATTAATTTTTAGGAGACAAATAAGTAATCAAAATTAAAAAGCAATATAAAACCAATGAGACAACGCGAATACTATGCCAAACAATGGTGGTAAATTAATTTGAAAGTTGTTTGGACAGCCAAGCCTCAAGAAATGCATTCAGCATGTTAATCTATCCCCATTACTGAGGTACATAAATAGCATAATATATTAATTGATCAACGGTTTTTTTTACTTTCTTTTTCCTTTTCTATTTATTGAGTGGAGGGGATGAGGATTAATCTGCTATCAGCATTATCAAACAGCCAAAAGATCTGATGATCATCTAACAAACATGAAATCGCACATATAGACAGCATGGAGGTTCAAGGTCTCAACAGTTCTTACCCTTCCTTAAGCGTCAATATAGCTGTATGGACAGCATCATCAAGTTCCATATCATCAGTATATCTGCATCCAATAAGGAATTCTTCGTTGATAACTTTTTCAGTACATAAAATCTATTTTTCATTTGCCACAATTGAAACAACAATTGATAACAAGAGTGAACGCAATGCACAATGGAAAGGAAAACTGAAAATCTGACCAGATACACCAGCTTGATTTGAAAGGGACAAAGTATAATTCTTTCATGTTTTTTCAGAGTAATTAGTAAGAAACAACTTTAACATATGGTGCTAAGCAATATCTTTTAGTTAGTGAAGACTCCACATTGAAGTTTCAGTCCAAGACTAACTTATAGGACCAATTTATCCCCATCATTACCTCCAATTGGCTTATTTTTTCACAAAATATCAGCCTAAAAATGTTTAGGCAATAAAGAAATTTAAGAAGTTTTGTACGTGTTTACCTACCAAAAGACCGGAGATGAAAAGAAAAAGGTCAAATATTTAAAACTACAACAGGAAATCAATAAGGATAGTTCATCATTGCAAAAGCTCATCAACAAGAGGAATTATTATCATATCACGCCTTTTCTTGAATAAAAATGTCAAAATGTTGTCTTCAAAAGTCTTGCTTTGTTATAAAAAAATAAATAAATAAATAATTAAAAAAAAAAAAGGTTATCATCTATAATGAAATACTCTTAACAGTTGACCAATGAATAAATAAAATTAACTCAGTAATACAAAGTAATAAACAATAAAAGGGGTATCTCAATGTAACGCTACGGTCACTACCTCTATTTTCTTTAGTTGTAACACTTTGAACTTTTGCACCATTCACATACATCATTTTGACTACTTTGGTTATTTAAAAGTGAGGGTAAACAAACCATGCGGGGGTCTAATCAATTTCATCTCAATATCGATTTTCAACATATAAACTGTTTATAGTTTTTACTTACATATAATAACAGACATAATTGGTCAAAGTTGAACATTGGCAAGATTGAAGTCAAAGTCTGCATTGAGAGAGAGGGGGAGAGAGAGAGAGAGAGAGAGAGAGAGAGAGAGTTGTGAATCTGCCACTAACGGCCTTAAAGCATGAAGAATTTTATATAAGATTTTGGCCAACATTTAAGAATTACACAGATTTAGAAAGTTAGAACTCATTATAAACCCTACATCACTCATATTGTGGTGACATACTGATAAACACTTCAAGATCTTACGACGCGAACTCGTCTTAATGATGTAACCACAGGATAAACTTTGATTTCTTATATATACCGCTCACATTCCTAGCTAAGTTTAGAAAAATTCATATTGATTTCTATAGCACGAACCAAAACCTGCCCACAATAGACCAAATAGAGCAAAAGAAAATCAACTTGGAACTGAATCAATTATATGTTATCTACTAGTACAATTTTATCCTTCCACATCTATCTGCCATTTCCTTTTTATAAACATGACAAACCTTCATGCGTAGTCTAATTGCTCACTGTCAAAACTGTAAATTTGTCAATTCATTGAGAAATGTGGTTCTACAAATAGGGAGAAACATTAAAGGGAGATATTGTGTAGGGTTAAAACTGAGAATGCTAGAAAAATGTACAAGTCAAAGTGATTCCTAGCAAATGTAATACTTGCAAATAACGTCTCATCACCCGTTAATATAATTCTGTATTTCTTAACAATGGACATGATGGAGACATTCAGAACAACGCAGCGATGATTTTTAACGATAACCAGTAACTCATTACCTCTTTTCAAGAAAAGTCTTTGCATTGGAGACATTCTTTCCCATAGCTGAAGCCTTCCATGAGAAATAAGAACCAGAGGGATCCACCTAAACAAATATTGAATACTTTCAAGATCTGTGGAAGAATGTCAAGAACCTAACGAGCATTTATCACTCAAGCCTAATTAACGTAGGGAAAGTAACAATTGAAATTAATCAATAAATTATACGCTGAAGCCGTTTTCTTATTAGAAACAAGTTTGCCAAACTAGACCAAGAAAAAAGGTTTTTTTTTTTTTTAATAGACTTGTAAATAGAATGAAGTAAATTACATAGAGACTTGCCGATCATATATTTTTAGTCCATAAGCAAAACAAACATTAGATCTGTGAAGCTTTCTCTACATTATAAGGTGCCTTAAACCCTTTATATATACTATTAATATTTTGCAGCCAGAAGCCAATAGATACAGACTTTCAGCTGATATTCAAATTTTAGAATATAAAATTTAAAACAAATTTCAGCTCTGTAAAGAAGTCTCTACATTATAAGGTACCTTAAACTCTTTCATAATACTATTGTTACGTAGATTGTCTTAAATAGATAATATATGCTTTCTAAAAATTCTTTCAGCCAGAACAAACATTCCTTCAATTAATTTAAAGCAAGCTTTGCATTAGAAGAAAAAATGAAAAGATTGCTAAGAATATATGATTAAAGTACAAACTTTTAAGAGGGTTGCACCTTCTTCCAAGATCACTCCACATAAAAAGCTACACAACACACTGATAATCTATAGACAGGTACATACAAAATTTAACAGGAATCATAGCCATCACTTCAGTTCACTAATTAAGTACCTGGTACAATTGTGGACCACTTTCATCAAATCCGGCAATCAGAAGAGAAACTCCAAAGGGTCTAACACCACTGCATTCATTAAAAAAAAATACAGGAAAATTAAGCATTAATGGACCAAAAGAACTAAAGAAAGCAGCAAACAGAAGCAATCTAAAACAAACAATAAGTTCCATAATTTAATCTAAACCTTTTTCAAAAGATGAGAAGGAAAAGCAGACCCATCTGTTTCTTTAGTGCATTGATACTAACATGGTTTCATACTATGGCTGTGGGTATAGAACTTGCATTAATCTAAAACAAACAATAAGTTCCATAATTTAATCTAAACCTGTTTCAAAAGATGAGAAGGAAAATCAGACCCATCTGTTTCTTTAGTGCATTGATACTAACATGGTTTCATACTATGACTGTGGGTATAGAACTTGCATTTTTTTTTTTTTTCTTTTTTGGTTGGGGGAGGAGGGTATACAACTTACACAAAACAGTTGATGAAACTACATTGCATCATTCCATGGACAAAAAAAAATATGACATGAAATTTGGAGTAGTAGAACTATAAAGTTAAGACCTTTCATAGTAAATAGCAGCTGGAGGAAGTCAATTGAAAACATTGTGTGTTGTTAAATAAATAATATTTAAAACTCATTTGCAATATAAAACTTATTTGAAAGGTGTTGCCACATGTTTATTTACCTGGCCAAACCAATCCACATCCAATAACCCTATCCAAATTACCAACAAAACTCAATTGTACACGAAATCAAAAGTGAGCCAGCCCAAATATATATATTGACATGACTAATGTTTCTGGTCACAAAATAATACCACTCAAGATTCCTATGGTGACCCGCAAGATTTTCTGTGACAACATGTCGGCCCTTAAACCAATTAAATTATCAAGATTCCTATGGTGACCTCAACTATTCACATCATCAAAGTGACCCTACCCAAATTCAAATATTAGTGAAATGACTAACGTTTCCTGTCACAAAAAAATACCACTCAAAATTCCTATGATGACTTGCAAGATTTTCTGCGACATGTCCCTCAAACCAATTAAACTACTATGACTCCTAAGATAACCTGCAAGATCTGCTGTGACTACATGTCGCACCTCAAACAAATTAAAGTATTTCAACCTAACAACTCAGTCTTACAGCACCAGCCCGAAATCATCAATACCACCTCAACCCACAAGACCAAAAGGACTCAAAAATACATATTGATTGTCGGATCATGTAACAAAAACTCCTGATAAAACAACTTCCTAATATACACCAGAACAGCCTGCTCACATTGTCAACCACTGACAGATAGTCAGCCTGAATTAATCAGTACCCCAGCAGTAGTAACCAAAAAAAAAGTGATTCCAAGGGTGTCCAAGTATTTGAGAATCAACAATAGTAGATGCCATTAACTCAGAGTTAGCTTCTTTGGATGGAAATGAAACCTGCTTTTTTTGGTTAAAAAATGAAACCTGGGTTGGAACTGATTTACATAAAGAAGAAAGAATACTCCATATGGTGGCATTGAGACTTAAGAGGTACAGTTCGTACAAAGCAAGGCAAGCAATCCTAGATTGTAGACAAAGCTATGGACTACGGGGTTGATTTAAAAACTTCTAAAATCATTGACCAATATGTTCAGTAAAATCATCAGTTTTTGTTGCTAATATGAAGACACAGTGCAGAACAATGTCAATTCTATACTCCTTCCATCCCCAAGTAAAAAGTCTAGTTTTCCTTTTCCACATATTTTTAAGAAGGTGAATCAATATGTAAGATAATGGAGTTTGGCTGATTAAAGGTGAATAAAGTAAACAAGATAGTGGGATTTGGTTCATCAAAAGTGAGTTAAAAAAATAAGATAGTGAGATTTGGTTGATTAACTGTAAATTAACAAACATATAAGGTGGGACATTTATTTAGGGACAAAGTTTTGGTCTTTTTTTTTTTTTTTTTTTGGAGTCATTTGGCACCTCGATGTCGACTCATCACATTCTGGGGTTGAAGAAGGTCGCAAGGGTTTGGTACTTCGCTGATTAAAAAAATGAGACTTTTAATTGGGGACTAAGGGAGAATTTGTGGGTTTTTTTTTTGGCGGTGAGACTTCATGACAGTCGATTATTTTGTTAATCTTTTTCCTTTTCAGACGATTCCATATGGCGATTCATGTTATCCGGCCCCAAATCATTTTGGGTCTAAGGCTTTGTTGTTGTTATTGTTGTTGGAGATTTCATGACAATGTATATTTGAAGCTGCCATGAGGGGATAGTGGAATACTGACTCAAGGCAGAGGGTTTGTACAGGAAAGAGGAAACACTACCCTACTTCAGAAGAAAGTGTCTCAGCTTAGGCCCTGCTTTTTGCTGAACAGAATTTTTTATTGGCGATAAAAAAAAAACTGAATTATTACTGATTGAAACTTATTTTATCTGATTGAAACTTATTATAACTAATTACAATTTAATTTTACTGACTAGTGATATTTGTTGCATTAGGTAACTCATTATTACCAATTAAAAACTTTAAACCAACTTTTACTTATCAGAACAGTTTCTTTTGCTGATAAACATATTAAATATACTGAATTTTATTTTTACAGTGAAAAGAACAAGGCCTTAATAAAGCCTTTCATAGTCTCAACTCTCAAGCAATTACCAAGGCAGTATTTGGCAAATAAGACTCCTCAATCAAAAAACATGGGGATTAGATCACTACCCTCCTAGTTTATATCAATGCTTATCACTAGTAACAATGGACAAGAAATTAAAAATTTAAAAACAACACTTTCATGAACCTTTCATATCAAGTACACGGGGCATCTTGGTTATTTCCTGATTCTAGAAATAACTAGAACAAGGCAAGGAATATTTGTTTATAAAAGACAATACACCCAAGACTTGCTAGCATGTCACAACTCACAACTACCAACTTTAAATTTAGTAAGTCTGTTTCATGACCATTCTCTCATCAATCTAGTAAAACATTAATCACATCCTATACCCCACCTACATTATAACCTTAATGCCATTCTTTTTCAATGTAGTAGTAAAGCACCAATTCTATACCAGTACACCCCTCCAATATTCTACCCTTGCTGTACTGCTATAAAAATCCAAGCTGCTATTGGAATTGCAGCAAACCCAGTGAGGATTGGAAGAAAACAGGACCAGTGAAATTAGAACTATAGGAAGAAACTCAAGCAGTATGAACCGTATGATGAACTTTTTGTTGTGTTATTGGCAGAATGGGTCTGCTTTAATTCTCTTCCTTGCCCTAATTAAAGCCAATTTCCAACTTCCTCTTATAGCATGCTAACACAGTCACAGTTGTCAAATTTTAATACCTGGGGCAGTTAATGGCAGTATTTACTAACATTAGTTTCTCTGGTACATAATTGGCCACATACTTCCCCACAAGAGAATTTACCATGCTACTAACTAATATATAATCATCTAATCGAATATCATATAATGAATTGGAATCATAAAATTTCCAATTAATTAGAGTAAACAACCTTACTTTCTGATAATTTATACAAACAACAAAATAGCTCGAAAACTCTATCTTACCCAGATTGTGTAAATTCTTGCATGACAGCAGCAGTTTCCCTAACAAGCTGTGTAACAGGGATCGGTTCCTACCACACAATTTGCAAATAGTTAGTGCTACTTGAACATATATGAGAATAGGTAGAAGGAATTGAGAACAAAATTGCCCAATGACAGCAAAAACAATAACCCAAGATGTTTAGTGAAGAATGGAAGGATATAATTGAGCAAAGAGGTTTTCTAACACAAATAATAGAGCATTTCAGTAACAATGTTTAAATACACATGCAAATTAAAAAGAATAATTTACTTTTTTATTGAGCCTAAAAAGAATAAATTACTTTAAAGTGCAATTTTTTATTCATGATTACAGATAAATTTATTGAGGAGAAGAAAAGGAACTTGTTAAGCATTCAATAGATAGATAAATAATAAAAGTGACAGTATAAGACAACAAAAAATCCTGACCACATACAAAAGCAGGGAAGTTACAAAATAAAGAGATACACAAAGCATTAAGAAACCCTTCTTAAATGTAAACAAGAATCATATAACAGAAAAAGTGAGTATTAGCACAATAATTATACTATAAAAAAAATTGAAAAAAAAACCCCACAATATTATCATAAACGAAGGACTGCAATACGACAACTACAAAACCAAGAATCTGAATATCCATAACCAAAAGAGAGCAACAAATAATTTTAAAAGGTACCTTGTATAGTTTATAATATTGTTCTGCCTGCTTTCTGCTTTTACGGACTAAAACACGAGAATCGGGACCCATGCCACTATATATACAAAGATAAAAAGAAATAATCAATAACAGAAGAAAAGAAGACATGAATGAAGATCAAGCATTGGAGGGTTGAAATGGAAGCCCCCATTTTTTAACTTCAACAAGTTGGAAAGGTATGACAAAAACCATGACTGTACAAATCTTTTAGGGGTCGTTTGGTTGGATCATTTGTAATGGATTGGAATGGAGTTAGAATCCATTCCATCTACTTTTTTGTTTGGTTGAGATTTTTAGTAATGGAATCTCATACCCAAGGGGTTCTAATTCCCCCTCATACCCATGGAATCTCATACCCACCCCTCCCCCTAAGATTCACAATCCACTCTATTAATGAAGGATAGAATCCATTCCAACTATAAAACCAAACAACTTTGGACTAGTATGGATTTTAGAATCCATACCTCTCAAGTATGAGATTACATACCAATCCATTTCAACTTAATGAACCAAACACCCCCTTAGAAATTTGGACTCGCACTAAAGATTCGATTCTTAGTCAAATACTTCAATAGGGCAAGACATTATTATGGCAAATGATGGCAAATGCAAATTGCACTACAATCCCTTATTGTGGTAGTGCAAACATGCAGCAATGATTCAATTTTTAGTTGAATACTTTGATAGGGCATTGACATTATTGTGGCAAATGCAAACTGCACTACAATTTGTAATTGTGCTAGTCTATTGCAGCAAGTGGTCCTAAGATATTAGAATGTTTAATCTAATAATGCAGTAAATCACACAGACCTAACTACCAAAAACATGAATTAGGAGCAGGGAAATATGAGTAGATGATGCGAACCTGTAGACAACTCCAATATTAGGCGTCAAAAGTTGAATCTTTTGAACCTGAAGTCAGTGAAAAAATGTTGATAAATAATGAGTTGCATAAAACATAGTGATTTGGGTGGATGAGAAGATTATATGAAGTACTAAGCAAAAGAAAAAAAATAAAATAAAAATAAAAAAATAACATAAAATAAAATATGAGTGCATCACTTTATACAATCAAACTCCTAAACAGTTTGTTGAATAGAAATTGATCCTCACGGATCACCTGAATAACTTTCATGCTGGTTCAAACTTCAAAAATCTACTTACTCTATATAATATTAGATAACAACTTTAAAATTATAACACTCTGATGCATTTACAACCACTTACAGATGCTTCATCCACCAGGATTGAAGGAAGTTTCTTTTCGGTTGCAATAACAACACCATTAGCAGCTGCAACCACCCAAAAAGACGGTATATTTTTCATTAGTATATTTCAAAGTTCTAACAAACGAAAAAATTAAGCTTGAGTCAATAAGGCATGGAAAGGGTAAACCAATACATTAGAGTATCTGAGCATGTCCCAAATAGTCATCAAGTCAACACAGATATAACCTGTTTGCTATATATTCAGGTCCAAAAATTATATAAAGCTAAGAATTTAGCCTTGAAATTGAATACAAAAACAAATGGAAAAGAAACTAAAATTTTAGGGTACTGTTGGCTATCACATGAGGTTAAACTAGTTTAACAATTTCATGAGTCTCTCTCTAAACAAAGCTACCTAGCAAAAGAGTATCAATCAGGGCAACCTCACCTGTTGTGAAGCTTTACAATTGAGTTCAGCTCATAATTACAAACGCAGCCTATTACAATACATATTAAAAAATAGAACATCTATTAATAGTAATTTAAGGACTATAGAGCAGAATGACCCTAATTTTTAAAGTTCCACTTCCACACCCCCCTCCCCCTACGAGACACACAAATACACATAACTCTAAAACAATCTCGAAGAAGGAACTTGCAAGAATTAAACCCTTGTCTTCAAGCAAAAAGGAAGAAAGTATTACCGAATGGAGAAACTGTTATTTTCAAGGGACAGAGATAATAATATCGGCACAAATGAGAACTCAATTTTTTAGCATTGCCAACATTCCCAGCTATATAAAGAATTTTGCACCTCCATAATTATGAAAGTGCACAATAAAGCATGATTCACGAGAAGTCACCCATCTAAGAGCTTCAAGGGGGTTGCAACTTAGTAGTTTCAACATTAAACAAAGCTACTAATCAGCTCGGTATATGAAACTCGTCCTCAAAAAAGTATCAGACATCATTTTCATCGACGAAAGTGATAAACTTTTCGAAACCGCCAACGATATACTATACAAGTATTTGAAACGACATGCTAATCATTCTTCAAAAATCTTACCCCCCATTTCCACCCCACCCTAAGAAAAATTCTATTGCAGAACTTGAGCAACCCATTGAAAAGCAACATTACAAATAAATATTAAATGGAAAAATAAAAATGAAAACAATCAAAAATCACAAAATACTGAAAACCCAACAAAATCAATCATAAATCAGTGAATTGGAGTTTACCTTTAATGCCAAGAGAAGTCTGCCCAGAACCAACAGCAGTTAAAGCGTGTTCGATCTGTACCAGCTTACCAGAAGGGCTGTTTCAAAACACCATTTCAGGATCCAAACATCAATTGAAAGATTAAATACCAAAAAAAAACCCAGTTGGAACTATTGTTGATAGATTATAGTATGAAAATTTAGGTTAATTTATTGACAATTTGGAGGATGAAATAGCAGAAAAAGTAGTGCAAGAGTACCTGAAAGTGGTGAGAGAAAATGAGTATTGGCTGTCTCCCATGGCGGCTTACGATGATGCAGAGCAGAGTAGAGAGGAGATAGAGAGACGAGAGGAGAGATGCTGAGGTTTCGCTTTTACGAAAGAGGAGTGACTCCTTCAGCAAGCAAGATCACAAGATTTATAGCGGAAATGAAAACTAATAATTCTATTTTTGTCATTTCATAACCTATTTCAGACTATCGCCTTCTGATCAGTTTTTTTTATTAATATAAAAAACAAATAAAGACAAAAAAAAAAAAAAAAAAAAAAAAAACCTAATCCCTCTTTCCCCTACCTCCCTGCCAAAGCCCCCCTCCCCTCGCCAGACCAGCCGCCCGCCTGACCCAATCACCCTCCCCTTGACTGAGCCCAACACAGACTACTCCCAACCATACCCATGCCACGAATAGGAAAATTCCGCCTGACCCACAGTTGTAGACCACTTAAACTCCACAATTGCAATTTGTAATTTCAGCATACCACTCAAACTCGTAAATGGTTATTTATTTACAATTATATCAGACCACTCAAACTCCACAATTGCAAAAGGTCGGTGGAGGTCAGGTCACACTGATAACATGAAAGTCCTAAATGTCCACATGAAACTCCAATTCAGGGGAGGTCAGGTGGGTCGCGGCATTGCTGAGGTCAGGTGGAATTTTGGTGTTTTGGGGTTGGGTGGGAGGGCTGCTTGTAACACCCTAAAAATTTATTTCCTTTAAAATACCTGTTTTGCTCTTTTAAAATACAAAATAAGAAATTCTAAGACATTACCACCACCGTGATAACGGCTAAGACAATTATCAAAGACACATAGCGGAAGACTCACTTTAAAACCATTCAAAACAAGTCAACTTAAAAAGTCAAACCAAACGAAAAAATTCAAACCCAGCTCAAACGAAGTCAACCTACAACTTGGAATCATTGTAGCTCCTTATTAAAAACCAAATGAATATTAAAACCTTTGTGTTAGTCTCACAAGCAAATATATAATAATCAAAGCGAATCAAACACATCATATTCTTATAGAAACTAAACAGGAATCGCTCTTCACTCATGCCATCAAGAACATGCTTCATCACCTAAAAAGCTTCTCTTTATTTTGTCCCCACTACTCGCCATTAGAAATGGGTTGTCGTAGGGCCAGATAAAGACAAGGCCAAACAAACATACAAACACACAATCAGCAATGCTGATTATATAAGCGTAAACAGTACACACTAACATGCTTCATCCTATCAACATACAACTTACCTTGTTGCACCTGTTTACAAGCATACAACATACAACATAGCCAACCAATAACAAATGGTTTGTTTATTTAATTTGATTACGCATCGAACGGGTTTCCCCTCTAACCAGCCCCAAATAAAGGGGTACTAACATGGGATCTAACCGTGCCACTATAAAAGAACCACTCATAAGTGGCGGAATTCCTGCGTATAATAAAAAGGAAAATACAGCGTCCTATACTCCCAGTAGAAGCTATGGTTAAATATAAAACCCCATAACTCCCCCCATATGTTCATACTCAAGGTTTATACGTCCAAGAGTTTTGATGCTTAATCTCTTTCACTTTACGTTGTTTACATATATTTTAGACTTGGTGATGACTCTCAATCCACAACACAACCAATCAACATAAATCATTCAAGTAATAAAACATTTCAATTTAATTCTTGAATAATTAGTGACCACATTTAATTTAATGTTGAACCCTTTTTAAACTATCTCGGCGTTAAATAACACCTTGAGCGCATAATGCACCACAAATCCTATCCCTCGGTGTTTAAAACACCTTAAGTGCACTTAGGCACCAATATATAATTTAATCCTCGTGTACGTAGACACTTAAATAGCTCCTTTCTCATGCTTATAGCATCAATAAAAATTATATGAACTAAAATAAAATTCCCTTTCAATATTCCCAACTCAATTAAACATTTAGTTTAATTAAACTTGCTCCCAATCATGCCAATAATAAAAGTGTGGTTCATAATCAACATCCCAACATAATTAATTCCAATCAACTATTCACCTCAATAATTCATACTTCACAAATCAATCTAATCAACAATTCCAATCAATACCTATCATGATACTACCTTGAAATTAATTAAACAAAGCATAGCATGCTTCTGCACACTTAAATAATTACCGAGTACGCGAACGTACCTCGAATATAATCTCAAAATCGCCACGACTACACGAAATCACTCACTTGGAAGTCTCCTACAAGGCTACAACCCAAAATTAGAAAGAGACATTAATACCTATTCATAATATATTTCCAGCAATATATACACTCTTTTAATCATTTTTAAACCTTCTAAAACATGCTGAAAATTAATTTAAACCACCTACTTGTATTCCCATTTAAAGGGTTGTCAAAAATCATTTCAAGAAACATAATTCTAGCCTTTATACAAAAATTCCAGCATTATAAAAACTCATAAACTTGCTGTAATTTTGTTTTAAAACACTAATTTCAATAGTTTTAATCAACTACAATCAAATCCCATCAATAATTATTAACTTAGAAATCTAGGGTTTCAATTTGGGGCTTTTTAATTAAAAAACCAAATCTAAAAATTATATACATAATAATCATTATTAAAACATCATAAAATCATCACACACACCCAAAATCAATAACTAATCAAGGTTGGATTAATTTAAAACAAAAGAGAGAAAGAGAGAGTTTGTTTTTTTTTAAACACAATCGCACGCACGCGGAAGGGGTTATTGCCGCCCTCCACGCTGGCGGCTGCTGCTCCCGGTTGCTGCTGGCGGTGATGGCCGGCCGGTGGGAAGTGGTGGTGGCGCTCGACCACCTTGATGTTTGTGCGTGTGAGTGTTGTGAGGGAGAGGGGAAAATTTAGGGGAGAGAGAAAATAAGAGGAGAGAGAGAGAATTTACCTTTGGGTATTCTCCACCTTGGGCAAGATCTAATTTGCTCATAAGATGGGTATGTATACCCCCTCTCCAAAACCCTCCTAACTTAAATTCCCCTTCTACCCTTAATGATTCATTCTCTTATTCAAACTAGTCATTGACTTTCTTTAAAATTCCATTGGCCATAAAACATCCTTTTATAAAATAATATGCCCCAAAGTTTCTAAATAATAAAATAAAATATTTTCAAAACGATTAAAAAAATAAAAATGGACCTTTAATTAAAATAAACCTTTTTAAATTAATAAAATACCATAAATAATTCATTTCGAATTATTTAAATACTTCATAAAATAATGTTTTAAATTAAAATACGTATAAAAATACGGAGTATTACAGTCTACCCTCCTTATAAGGAGTTTCGTCCCGAAACTTGGGTAACGAAAAATCAAACTTTTTCCTCACTTTGTGTAATATTGCTGTAATCTTTTGACATACTTTTACCTTTAATGTCTCCTTGAAATCAAAAGTACTTGAAATAATCGTTTAAAATGTGCAAAAAGCACAAAAATAACTGAAAATATAGGGAAAAAGCGCGAAAATTCCACCGCATTATACCCCCTTAAAGAAGCGAGTTACGTTCCTGTAACTCAACATACCTTAAACAACTCAGGTTATTTCTTTTTCATCTCATCCTCAGCTTCCCAAGTTGCTTCCTCATATTCTTGGTTGGACCATAGCACCTTAACAATCTTAACTTCCTTGTTGCGTGTACTACGCACTTTACTGTCAAGGATCTTGACAGGTCTTTCCTCATAAGTTAAGCTTTGATCTAACTCAATTATTTCAGGTTGTAGCACGTGCGACTTAACAGGTATATACCTTCTTAACTAAGACACATGAAATACATCATGCACCCTACTTAGCTCCATATGTAGGACCAACCTATAAGTTACTTTTTCTATTCTCTGTAATATCTCATATGGACCAATATACTTTGGGCTAAGTTTTCCTTTCTTCCCAAATCTCATAACAACCTTCATTGGTGATACTTTCAACAACATTTTGTCACCAACTTCAAATCTTCTTCCCTACGCTTCAGATCTGCATAACTCTTTTGACGATCTTGTGCTGCTTGAATCTTAGCTTGAATCTCTTTTACCTACTTAATTGTATCCTCGATCATTTGAGGCCCTTAGATCATTGTTTCACTTATGTCGTTTCAACATACCGGGCTACGACACTTTCTTCCATATAATGCCTCTAATAGAGTCATACTAATGCTCGCATGATAACTATTGTTATAAGAAAATTCAATTAAGTCCAAGCTATCTTCCCACCCCCCTTGGAAGTCTATGACACAAGCTCTCAACATATCTTCCAAGGTTTGGATAGTTCTCTCAATTTATCCATCTATAGCAGGGTGGAATGTTGTGCTCATCTTTAGTGTTGTACCAAAATTTCCTGAACACTCTTCTAGAACTTTGAAAGAAACCTAAAATCTCTATCAGACAAAATATCCTTTGGAACTCCATGTAACTTCACAACATTCTTGATGTAAGCTTTTGCAAGTTGCTCCATCTTCCAAGTCTCCTTCATTGGTATGAACACTGCAGATTTAGTAAGTCTATCCACCATGACCCAAATGGTATCATTTCCACTCTTTGACTTTGGGAGTCAAGTCACAAAGTCCATCGAAATGCAATCCCACTTCCATCCAGGAATTTCCAATGATTCCACGGTTCCTTGCGGTCTCTTGTGCTCTATTTTCACCTTTTGACAAGTTAGACACTTCGCTACAATTTCTGCAACTTCATTCTTTATTCTAGGCCACCAATACATCTTTTTCAAGTCTTTATATAGCTTGTCCCCTCCTGGGTGTACTGGGTATGATGTATTGTGACCTTCTTTCATTAATTTTCTCTTTACTTCCTCACATTTTTGTGGTACATACCATCTACCCTTGTACCTTAAACTCCCATCTTCATGAATTTTGAAATTTGTAGCCTTTCCTTGCTTTATCTTCTCACGAACCCTATCCAACTTAACATCTCCTGCCTGGTTTTCCCTTATCTCATCAAATATTATTGGTTGAATGCTTAAATTCGCAAGTATACCTGCTGGTACTCCCCATTCTACCACTTCTAGGTTCATTTTCCTCATTTCCCTACACAACTCATCATCAGCCACTATCAAAGTGTTCAGTCCATGACTGGTCTTACGACTTAGAGCATCTGCAACTACATTTGCCTTCCCTTCATGATATTGTATGTCTAAGTCGTAGTCCGTTGAAAATT